CCATCCTTGGCTTCTGACAACGCCACCTCCTCTCACTGTTCCTCTAGTCCTAGGAGTCTTGCTTCTCCTTTGCTAACCTCTGGTTTGTTCATCATTTTTTGTTTACTTTCTCAGTTTTCCCCTTTCCCGTGTAAAATTATCTCTGTTTAAAAGCCAGGGCTGTTCCTTTGTTCTGGATGGACCTTACCTGAGATAGGGGATTACGCTGGAGATGCTAAAACCCATTAGGAAGCCACTGTGATAGTTCAGGTGAGAAATCCTGAGGACTTGACCTGAGGCTGTGGTAGTAGGGATAGAGCAAAGCACATTTAGTTAATAATCCTGGGGAGATCACATTGATAGGCCTTCGTGGTTGACTGGCTGTGGTGGTGGGAGAGGGGAATGAGAGAGGTGGAAAGCTCCCGGGCTCTGAATGACTGGGTGGGCTGTAGTTTTACCAGTGGAGATCCAAAATACACAAGGTACAATAGGAGACATAACATGGGAGAGAAGCCAATGAACATGTTGAGGCCTCTGAGGCTGGGGGCCCCCTAATGGATATAAATCTGAAATTCAGAAAAGAGGTCAGGGCTGGATACAGAGATGGCAGAGTCAAAATATGCACAATCATTAAAGGCAGGACAATAGATTAGGACCATCCCAGGGAAAGCAGAGTAGTGGGAAGAAACACTGTGGTTTTTCCCCATATTGAAAGCCAGTCGGTCAACAGGAACACTTCGCTGGCCCCTTACCCGCCTTCAGATCACGCCCCCTTCCTAGCCTCTGAGGAGCGGCTCACTTGGCTGCCTCTGTCCCTCACATGTCCACTCTTTTCAATACAGTGCTGTTGGGTGTCTGCCCTCTGCACCATCTCCAACCCCCGAAGCTGCTGCGACATAGGTCACTCCCAATGACAACTTTGATCTTTGGGTTTGGCTTCCTCTCTGGTACTTGCCATGATTAACCCTTTTCTTCCTGAATGGGTCTCTCCCTGTGCAGCTTGTTGGTGATAACAGGCTCACCTTAGTCTCCTGCTCTCTTCCTCTTTTGCTTGTGCCTGTGCCTTTAATCTTTGTCACCCACAGTCCTTGTGTCTCCTTACCCCACATTCTCTTCTAGGACACTGTCGTTCCCTTTCGTGGAACTTTATGCTGGTTTCTCCCAAGCCTGTACCCCTTTCAGACACCCCTCCTAGCCTAAGCTCCAGAACCATACTCTCCTGCCCCCACCGCGAGTCCCCAGGAAACTCGGGCTCAGGGTAATCATTTTTTCTGCTAAACTGCCTACATTCCATAACGTGATTAATTTGGCAGCATGGCCACCCCAACCAGCAGAGTCTTTTATCTCGGCATGGAATTGGTTCCTAGGTCCTAGTTAGTCCCTCAACGTCATGTCCATTCCCGCTGATTCAGGTATTTAACTCCCCCCTGCACTATTGCCCATGTCTCATCCATGCTTAGAGCCTTCCCACACCTGCCCACTGCCCAGGACCAGGCCCGAAGGACTTCATATGACCCACAGAACCGAGCTCTGCTTATCTGTTACTAAGTTTCCTTCTGTTCCATTCTTTTCTTCCCAGTCCTAGCACATTCGACTATCCTGATATTGCCTCCAAATTGCCATGTTTCTCTGCCTCACATACATCTGCCTGCTGAAGTATCTACATTTATCTGCCCAGAGAGCTAATAGTCCAGGGTGTCATTGTCACCACCCTACCGTCACTGACTTGACCATGTCTCCTCTTCGGTGCCTCCACTCTTATACATATGATCTGTATATGCTGGTTCACAACCTTGGGAGTTCCCGGAGTGAAATTTGAAACTACTCCCCAAACCTGGAGGGCAGGAGGGGCTGAAGAGGCAGACCACTCCAGATTGGTGGGTGACAGGATTAATAAGCAAGGGAACTTCCATATGAGGCTTGTCTTGGGCACCACAAGACAAGCAGATCTCCACACCCATCTGCTAGAGTTTTAAGAATTTATGTAGAGGCCTTAACGGGGTTCAGTCATGTAGCAGTCCAGATGGTCTCCGTAACACATTGCTCTCTCCAAACTGTGACCTTGAAGTGTTTCTTGGTGCAGGAATGGTGTGCTGAACATATGTGCATTCCTAGCGTGGGGGTGGGGCATCGTGGGGTGGAGGTGGTAAGGAGCTTCCGCTTGCCTGGATCCAGCTCTTGGGTCAGCCTGCGGCCACATCCTCTTGGTGAACTCCATCCTCTTGGTGAACTCAACAGTTGCATGTGCACAATCATATCACAGCACTTTTTATTGCAAGTCTTTGTTTACTTGCCTGTCTCCTTTTGTGAACTCCTTCATGGTAAGGACTATATTTTATTTATATTTGCTTTCTTGGTCTTCAGAAAACCGCCTGGCACACAGATGGAGCTCATTAAATATTGGGTGAATCAGGAACTGATGAGCCAGAGCACTCCTTCCATGCAGGGACACACCCATTGCATGGCCATCCCTCCTTGACCCGTGCACATGGACCTGACTCTTTAGTGCTGGTCTTCCTGGTGGAGTTTCTTGATTCATTCATTCATTAAACATTTATGGAGCTCCTGGCATCAAAGACATAAAAAAGGCTTCTTGCATTGAAGACATAAAAAAGCAGTTGCACTGTCTTTGGGAACATTTTTCTTCCAACACAGGCGGCAGCATTGTTACGTTGTGGTCATTCTTGCAGACAGAGGCAGGGCAAGAGTGGGTAAGGCTGGAAGAATACACAACAGTGTGAGATCTGCTGTGACCCAGTGGAGTTCATGGCCCAGACCAGCTCCTCAGAATGGGGCCCCCCCTTTTGTTTCATCATTGGAAGGCTGGCATGCCTCTACTGAGCCTGACCACGGCAGCCGTGGGCACATGGTGCTGCAGACCAGTGCTCAGCCAGGCCCTATGCAGGTGCACACGTCAGAGATGAGGTTGTGTTTGAGACCCAGGAGGCAGGCACGGAGCAGGAAAGGCATGCTTGGGATCTTGGGGCCTTGTAATCCCGTCCTTCCCCATGGCCCGGTCACAGAGGCTGCCTCTGCTGGTCCCTAAGGAAGACAAATTCCCTTTTTTATCTCTTCCTTTCCTAAAACCTGTCCTATTTGAGAATGTGAGCCTCATTTACTTTATCAGTTTCTAATAACGAGGGCTTCCTGTCCTCATGCTAAAGAAGATGAATTCCTTTTCGTCTCTTTCTGTCCAAAACCCACTTTCAGAAAGAGAACCTGAAATTTATCTGCTATAAATGATAAAATACCAGAAAACTTCAAGTTTATTAGTTCAGTGATGCCTTGTAATGGGCCTTCCTCCCTGAACAGTTTAGAAAGACTTAGACCAATGCTCTACACAGCCGGTTGGTGCCTGGGATTACGCTCTAGGAAATATATAAAAAGAGACAAGTAGTTTAACCCAGGGCCCTGAAATTGTCCCAGGAAAGTGGTTATCTTCTTTACCTGCCAAGCAGGACCACAGGGGGGAGGAGGTGGAAAGAGCAGGGAGGAAAAAAGGCGGGTGCCAGAGGCGCAGGTAGAGCTGAGGCAGGAGAGCATCTGGGGTGAGCGGCACCCTAAGGAGCATGGGCTGAGCGGGCGGTGCTCAGGGGAAGAAGTTACCCCGAGTGGCCTGTGCCACGATCTGTGTTACATAATTATTTTGGCGCAGGCGGCAAGAAAGACAAAGGCAAGGGAGCGTGCCCTGGTTGTGCCTTATGCCTGCGGACGTCTTGATTTTTAAGCCTTACATGCCCCCAGGAGGAGGAAGGGCGAAAAGGTGCAGGGAGCGAGCGGAGGCAGAGAAGAGGCTGGCGGGGTTCAGGGGTCCGCTCCGCCGGGAGGGGCTGTGCGGCCCCGGCGGTGGGCGGGGCCTCCGGCGCATCCTCCCAGCCGCCGCGGGGCACCCTGGGAAAATCCTTCCTCCC